TTATATATATATATATATATATATATATATATATATATATTCTAGTGCTGTGGCACTACTTTATAATTCCACCCTGCATATGCTCATGCATCCAGCGTGGGCCATGTTATCCCCAGGCAGTCACTTGGTTAGGCGTCTAGACCAGCTAGATGCGTGCATTAATGTCCATTGTGGTTGCCCAAGTGTCGGACCACTTAATGGCCACCTCAACAGCCTGTGTATGCATATATATTTGGCATGCTAATTTCGATCTTGTTGTTTCATAATGTTAAATATCATCACTTGTTACTATTTCTGCCTTTAATAAGCTCATCAGGGTGGGATTGATTATTTGTGGTTTTTGGAAGTCTTCTATTAGGAGTTCATTTGTGGAGTGATTACTACAAGGAGGGCTTAGTTTCACTTTTTGAATAATAAGAGGCCTTTGGGGTTTTATGATTTTGTATATGAGGCATTTTGATACTTTAGTTTTCTTCTAGCTCACAAGAAGTTCGGTTTGTATAGATTGTATGGTGTCCACGCAAATTATATATCCTCCTCCCTTAAGATATTTCTAGAAATTCAAGAATCTGCTTGAAATAAATAGACCTCTACATAAAAATGTAAACATATATTCATTCCCTTGAAGGGGAAGTTTTCACTTCTTTAGAGCTTATATTTTGTGTAATTGAATGATTCGGTTTTTTTATTCCCTTATCCATCGTATTACATTTAGCTTGTTTTCAATCTAAATTGTATCGTAATTTGACTTGAACCCTGCTTGTCTTAAATTACTCATAGGTATCAAAAAGCAGTGAGATGGTTTGAGAAGACACTATCTCTTGTACCCTCTACAGTAAATGAAAGATGGGAGCCAACCTTGGCAAATCTTGCTCATGCACTTAGGAAGCTTAAGTATGCTCTTCTCTTCAAAGATTTATGTTAATCGATGTTATCTTGTTTGTCTTGTGATAATTTTCTTGGAACATGTCTGATGGATTCCATTGCACTATTTCTCATAACCATCTTTGTTCTTTTCTACATATTTATTTGTTAGTATTCTACATGCAAACTTAAATTTAGGAAATGCCATGGCTCTGGAGACATTTGAGGGTCTTCTTGCAGTATGTTTTCCCATCAGAATAATTTTTAAGAAATTTCAGTCAACTTTTAAAATCTTGACAACTCAAATGCCCCAAATTTTGTGAAAAGGAAAATATAGGAAAAAACGTGGTGGCAAAAAATTGCACTAATTTGATGTTCTAAAATTTAGAAAAACTTGCTAGAATGTTCATAATAATATTTTCTAAAAGTTCACACCTTGATACAATTATCTGATTGCCATACTAAAAGAAGGCTTTAGAGTCAGGTTGAGTAAATGACTAAATCATAGTTCAATTTCCTGCAATCGATTTATTAGAAATTTGAGACCTACTTAGAGTTAACTGTGTTTTATTTACGTTTGAGGTTTGAAGAACATTTAAAAGACTGGAATGCCACAATAATTTCTTTGATCCCTATTACTTGACTTAAATACTAGTATGCTTTTGCAACTTGTGCACAACATCAAACAATGGTTCATCCCTTTCTTATGACCCCTGGTCCCAGAGTCCTATTATATGTCTTAATAATATCTGATATCAATGGTATTTTCAAAAAAGAACAAAAGAAAAAACTGATATCAATGGCACATGGCACTTGCAGTGACTGTACACACCTAGTATGTTAGCAAGAAGTGATGTAATCTACCACAAGTTAATATCATGTCTATTCATGTATGTTAGTTACAAAAGGTAAATGATCAAGTCTATTGAGATTCATGATGAAGGTTTCATCTATCCCTCCTTGCCTCACTATGGGCACTGGATCACATATGGGGATAGTCATGAGAAGCTGGAAGCCATAGCAATCACAAGTAATCCAAGGTATTATATTACTTACATCTACACACTCAATCCTGATGGTCTTACCACATGGTGCCACTCAAACTTGCATATTTTGAGAGTATGAAGTTATGTGCATCGTAAGAATATATGGAGACCAAAAAATTGCAAGTGACATGATAGCCTAATTGGCCAATGGTCAGTATGTAGATCAATATAAATGCCTTCGTAGGCGACAATTTCTTGTGGATGATCACAATGCATGACCATTCAAGATTTTATTCATGAGTATTGTTCACATGGGTAAAACTGTCATTACAAAATTTAATTTTAAGTTAGGATATATAGGTCATTTTAATAATTGTATGGTTGTGTAATGTTTTTGACCATTGAATTATAATTTTTAAGCGATGTGTGGGGCCTTGAGAGGGTCAATTTCACATGTTTTTTAGAAATTAAAAGAGATCAAAGCTTAGGCTTTTGGGAGCCTAGCTTGGAGTATGGAGAAGAAACCCTAGGTTTCTTCGACTTGTGATTGTGTTTGGCTTTGTTTCTTGCTGATTTTACTGTTCTCTTAGATTTTCCTACTTCAAATAATGGAGGGAAATTTATACTTAGCTTTTGGAACCCTAGCCTGGGGTATGGGGAAGAAACCCCAAGTTTCTTTCGACTTGCGCATGTGTTTGGCTTTATTTGTTGTTGATTTTACTGTTCCCTCAAAGTTCCCTGCTTCAAATAATGGAGGGAAAAATTATACTTATTTTTAATTTCTATTGAATTTTAAGGGATGTATATTTTGATTTTAATTTTAGAGTTTTAATTTTTTTTGAGATTCTAGGGTTTGCTTATATTTTCTTTGTTTACTATTTACAAGTACTATTCATGGTACTATTCATGCATTACTGTTAATGTGTTACTGTTTACAGGGGTATTTTTAAAATTTTAATATTTTTTAAGGGTATTTTAGAAACTTACATGTTTACTTGAATCTCAAGTTAAATTAGGGTTTCATAGGATTATAAAAGGTTGGATGTCATATTTTGGTTTGTACATATTATTGGAATAAATTTTATTTTATGAAAAATGAAAATTCTTCCTCACTTGGCTTGATTTATAGCCATGTTCTTTCTTCAATATTATTGATTTTATTTGTTTAAGGTTCAAGGAAAGGGTGGATTTAAGTTCCTACCTTCTTGCATCAAGTATAGCATAATAACTTCAGGTACAATTGATGTTTGTGGTTACCGTCTTTTAGATGTGATTGCAAAAAGAGAAAGGAGGAATGCCTTTGTTTTTAGCGTTCGCTGATTTTGTACACAGTACAGAGGGAATATTTTTGTGCATGGCTGAGATTTACATTGTCTAGATCTTAACCCAAAATAGTCATATTGAGCTTTGCTGCAATAAATAGATACTCTTTATTGATGGTGGCGTGATTGGTGCGTGCTAGGGTTTGTATTTCAAAAAATTCTCATTTTCTTTTATTTATCCCCCCTATCACCCACAAAACCATACATTGGAAACCCCTTTTCTCCTTGAAAAAAATAGGAAGAGAAAATAAAATAAAAAGAAAATAAGACCCTGAGAAATCTTTGCTGCCACGTTCATGAACAAGCCATGAAAGTGGACACATGATCAATATTTTTACATGGTCAAATTCAGCAGAAAATAGACAGGGCACCTTCCAATAAAACATCCATATGTCCCAACTATCTGTGGGATTTCTCTGAGATTTTACAAGGAGGTGGACTCAAAAATAAAGAAAACAGGCATGGCTTGCACCAGGGGAAGTTGTTGTCATGTAAAAAACCAAGGGCTTGATCACGACTGATTTCTGCAGTCAAAACAACTAAGAGTATGTTTGGTTCGCATGAAACACGTTACTGATCTATTTGTATATGCAAACAGTTTACAAGAAAGAGTCTCTCAAGCCTATGTTCTCCCATTTTTGGTAAACACGTTTGGGACAAACCTGTGTGATCGATTTCATAGGTATAGTAACTTGTTTGGTAGACTGTTTTCTGGAAATCTTAACTGAAATCTATTTTTAACCATTCATCAGTATATAAAATTTGTTGATTACATATGGATATCTACCCATTGAAGGTAATATCTTAAAAATAATCATTCTATCATGTGACGAAAAAGTGGCAGCTTTAAATAATAGGTTGTTTAACAAGTTATGGATTACTACACTGTATTTGGACATCTCTCTCTCTCTCTCTCTCTCTCTCTCTCTCTCTCTCTTGCTCTCTCTCTCAAACGGAAAGAAAAAAAGATTAAGCCAAAATTGCAATAGATATCATACATGGCCATTACAATAAGTCGGTTTTGGGGCTTTAAAGTGGTTTTTTAGAGCAAGAGAGAACTACTTTGGCAAATTTTCTCTTTCTGCTCGAAAACCCCCAATGTCTATGGCTAAATTTTGGCAATTTCAGGGAGGATTCTGGCCATCAATCAATCTAATTTCAAACCTCAAGCAAGTTTATTACACTGTTTTCTTAATTTTTTTGTTTTACATTTATAAGAAAAGAAAAAAGATTGATTTTTAGGGCTTTTGTTAGGTTTTCTTTTTTCTTGCAAATCAATGCAATAGAATGTTTCCTTTATTTAATTTAACAGTTTTTGTTGCTAAAGCAAGTATAGGCTTTTACTTTATTGATGGATTATATGCATCTATAGTACTTAAATTAGCTTCTTCTTTTTTTTAATTATATTTTTAATCTTTAATATTTTAATGAGTATAGCTGAGATGACGTATTGAGTTGGATGAGTGGCAAGACAAGAAAGGATAGAATTCAGAATGAATACATCTAAAATAACTTGGGTGTGGCTTCAATGGGCTGTAATATGAGTGGACTGACCATGTGCAGTGTTGACCTAGAACAACATGATTAGGACGGGCCATTTGGTTCAAGTAGAAGGCTCTAAAAGGGCTAGGGGAAGGCCCAAAAGGACATGGATGGAAGTAATGAGAAGAGATATAGTGACCTATAGTCTGACTGATGGTATGAGGGGTTGCCACTAGCATCCACTTCCCTAGCCATCTAGGGCTAGGGCGTGACTAGCCATGTGGCACCCACCATATTGTGACCCACATGACCTATAGTGGTTCACCACATGGCTCCATGCGGCTACCTATTTACCATATTGTCGTCTACTAAACTGTCAAAAGCCAAAATCAAATAAAACCAATTCAATTTTTCTAGATCTTTTTTTTAAAAAATATATTTGCAGAAATTCGTTTCTCATTAAACAAATAGTAACACGGGTTCTTTTTCTTTAAAAACATGCAAGAAAATCCAAGAAATATCTCATTAGACGATTGAGCATGCTTTGGGAAGAAAAATTCCAATTTCCTCTAGGAAATCCTAGATAATCCTCAGTCACTACTTACCCTCAAAACTAACCTAGTTAGCCTGTGATCTAAAGTACTCTCATGCAAGGGGCTCAGGATTTGGCCCATCAAAACCAAGTAAGATGTAGATAAAGGATAAGTTATATCCGACCAATTAATTCTGGCTGTGACTTGTGCCTGCCTAACTCTAGTACCAATACAGGTAGCGAAGATCTCTTTCCAGCACATACACACTATCCTAAATCTAGGGTTTTGACTAATAACAGGTCCATGCGGAAGGCATGTGTGTACGCTGCAAGGACTGAAAGTGTCGAAGTTAAGGCCCTAGTCCTTGCAAACTCCATACAGTGGTCTATACGTCCAATGGTTGATAAACTTTTACCATCACAGGGCAAAGCTGGCTGTGGCAGGTTTCTGGGAACCCACTCTAGCAGATGCATCTTGGGATCAAAACCCAGACCAGTCGGTGCGGTTCCTACCCTGCAAGCCTCGGCCCTTGGACTGCTAAACTAAGGTTAGAATCCGAGAGTAGACTAACACATTGCCAGCCTATTCTAAATCTTAGAGTTGCTAGCTGAGCCTGCTCCTAAGAGTCTGCTCTTCATGACATGTCATAAACCGCTCTAAAACACATAGAACCCAATACTCCCACTAAAACTAGGAATATTGTATAAACACGAGTACTAAAAAGAATAACCCATATATAAAACAACCAAGAGCTAGTAGCCCTTAGATTGCCATAAACCCGACATATATGTTATAGTTGTGTGTTTCAAACTGGTGTATGGGTTTCATTTTCTTCTGTATATTCCGATGGTCATATTTCCATTCTATGTGGTTGTGTATTTGTCATGTTTCATATGACATTTCTTCCAAGGAGTTAGATCCATGTTTTCTCAGGATATTAGACGATAGTAATTAAGTTCATGCGTTCCATTCGCTTAGAACTCAAATGGAACCGATATTAGTACCTTTACTTACTGAAGAAAAAATTTGATGTTGTCGTCTGCATTAATCTAAACAGCAGTGATGTTTTTTCTGCTTTTGCTTTGGTTTAATTTTTTGTAATCTTTTTTTCTTGTTGAGAAAATCAATAATATGAAGACCCACCTGAATTATATGCAGAATTTAGTAGAGAGCATTTGCATTCTTCTGTTATTCCAGCTTCTGAAGGTTTGTTAATTGTACTTATTAGGCGATACCAAGAAGCAATTTCTTATTATGATAAAGCACTTGCGCTTTCTACCAGAAGTTTAAGCACTTATGCAGGTCTGGCCTACACCTACCATCTACAGGTATTTTGTTGTCCTTCTCAACTGATAATATATATAAAATCTACTAGCTAAAAAATCTTCTGAAGGCCTCGCTATAATAGTGGGACAACTTCTCTTTGGCAGCCAAATGAGCTGTCCATTAATATAAATTTTTGTTTTTGATGATGCTTCTGGAACTTGTGAGGTACACTCACTGCACAACGCAACTGTTGAACATTTAAAAGCAAAGTTGTTTTTATTTTGTTTGGTGATAATTAATAAAAATAATAAGGATTGTGTACTATGAGACAATGTAACTTTGTTACAAGGAGGTCACAATTACTCCTAGCCATTAGATGTCAAATTAGATAGCTTGGGATGTCACGAAGTTTGAGATTTTTTTTCTTTTTTTATTTTTGACTTTGAGTCTAGTCAATGACATTCTTACAGCCACTTGATTTGAAATCTGATGAGCAGTGTTTGTGACCTCCTTGTACCAAAAGTAAAAAGTTACTTTGTATTTTCAAACTAATATTCATGTTTTTAATAAACATTACTCTTGCAACATATTATAGTGACCTATTGTAGGTCTCCTGCCCAATGAATGATGAACACTATCTGTGAACCATCTTTAAATTATGTTTTCCATCCTCCTGATTTCACTGGATACTTAGTGGTTTTGGCTTAAATTAATGTCATTTTAGTTGGTCTAACAATTGTAGCGCTGATGAATATTGCTTGAAAATTACCTTACAATGTTTTCAGACTTGCCCCAGGCATGGGGCTTGGCCCATACCTTAGGCGAGTTACTTAGGCGAATCCAAATGGACTTGTCCGAGTATGGGATATTTCAAAAAAGGAAAGGAAAAAAAAAAACAAAGAAAAGGAAGAGGGCATGTGGACAAAGGGAAAGAAGCTCTTGGCTACATCTCTCTCTTCCCCCCCCCCCCCTTCCCCCCTCCTGCCCCCCGAAAAACACCTACAACATCTAACCCCTAAACAAAGAAAGGGAAGAGGGCATGTGGACAAAGGGACAGAAGCTCCTTGCTACATCTCTCTCTCTCTCTCTCCCCCCACTGCCCCCCAAAAAACACCCACATCTTACTCCCCCCCCTCCTGGAGGCCGACAGCATTTCTCTCTCTACAGGTCTCTCTTTCTCTCTCAGGCATCTCTCTCTTGGAGGAGAGATGGAAACAAGGGGTGATCTCCACCCCCTTTTAGAGAGATGACAAAGGGGGACAGAGAACGAGAATGAGAGAGAGAGAGATAGAGAAAGAGAGGAGAGAGAGAAAGACAGAGAGAGAGAGGGAGGGAGGAAAAAGGGGGGAGGAAATCAACCCCCTTTGAGGGTGAGAGAGAGAGAGAGAGATACCTGGCCCTAGTGAGTAGAGGGTGAGAGAGCCTCGTGCCCCCCATTTCAGAGGGTGGGGTAGGGGGTGGAGCAAAACCCATGTACCAAGGTACCGAGTAACTCAGCGGAGTTCACTGTTACCATGTATCACTAGTTTCAAATAGTCAGTGCATTATTTGCATGTTTTAATTGCAATGTTCTAATTTTCAGGATAATTTGGATGCTGCAATTACCTATTATCACAAGGTAAATTATTTTATTTTTTAACTGTACAGTCATCGTGATGAATGTTTATTTCATCTATAAGCAATTGATGATTTCCAATAAAGAACTCCTGTGATTCTTATTCGTGACTGATGGTATTTCCCATTCTTCTATGCCTTTGTGGAGTCACCACATAATACTCTCTCTCTCTCTC